TTCATCCGGCATAATCTGATCTGTCGGTACGGCGTCCCAGAAAGAATCATTACGGACAATGATACCAATCTCAATAACAAAATGATCACTGAACTCTGTGAGCAATTCAAGATACGACACCACAATTCTTCTCCCTACCGGCCGAAGATGAATGGGGCTGTAGAGGCAGCCAATAAAAATATCAAGAAAATTGTGCAGAAGATGACAGTGACCTATAAAGATTGGCACGAGATGTTACCGTTCGCTCTTCATGGGTACCACACCTCAGCAAGGACGTCAACCGGGGCAACCCCCTTCTCCTTGGTCTATGGCATGGAGGCAGTCTTGCCAATCGAGATCCAGATACCCTCTCTCCGGATAATGAAGGATGCAGACTTGAATGAAGATGATTGGATCCAGACTCGACTTGATCAATTAAATCTGATTGACGAAAAGAGGCTCATTGCTATCTGTCATGGTCAAACGTATCAAAAACGGATGATCAGGGCGTTTAACAAGAAAGTCAGACCACAAGAGTATCAAGTTGGGGACCTGGTAATCAAACGCATCATCCTTCCTCAAAGTGATCCCCGGGGCAAATGGACCCCTACGTACGAAGGGCCATTTGTGGTTAAACATGTGTTCTCAGGAGGAGCCATGATCCTAACCACCATGGATGGTGACGACCTTCCTCACCCCGCCAATGCAGACATAGTGAAAAAATACTACGCATAAGTAAAAGACCCGCTAGGTTGACATACCTAGGCAAAAATAAGGGCTTCCCGGCGAACCAAAAGGGTTCGGGCAAAAATAAGGGATGAAATGAATAAAAATCTGTACACCCGGCAAGTCGAAAACCTGAAAGGGCGGCTTGGGCAAAAATGGGTATCCCGGTGGACTGAAAACCCGAAAGGGCGGTCCAGGCAAAAGTTAGGGATAAAAGCGTAACACTATGTCTCATTGGATCACTTCGCATCCGGACATCGGCATCAACTATCTGGCTCCAGGTTTCGGCATCGACCAATCAGCTTCATCTACAACTAGGCAGCAAAGCGATGAGATGTTCGAAGACATAAAGGCGATAGCAGAGTTGGAACCCAGTGGATTTGTTCACATAGCTGTTTTGTTTCCTTTTTCAAATTGTAAACCCTATACTATTTGGCGGCGTCCTCGTACTAGGATGTCAGCCTCTTGTACAAAAAACGCATATTTACAGGCAAACTCAAAATCAATACAAATTCACTTGTCCATACAAATTACCATTGTTTTCCTTTTTCTGTTTTGTCTTGCGAAGAACGTCCAATGTTCATTTTTGATATATGCATTTGACGTTAAAATTGCTAATTCATAAATATTTACATATAAAACAAGAGATTGATTACAGGTGACATCAGAGACAGGGGCAATACGAAGTTGTCCAACGCAGTCTGATTGTTTTGTCCGCCAAGGTACCAAGGTAGGTTCAACTGAAGAATGTGGCCGAATCATCTCAATGCCCCGCAGAGTAAAACAAGATTCATCAGTACTTTCCCCAAGTAAAGTTGGCTCCCCGTCGATCCTGAAAGGACCCAATATTCCCCGGCAGGTCTTAAAGCTCATCCCCAGTAGATTCTGGAAGCTTATCCCCTGCAGAGTACGGACGTCTCTCCCAAGTTTTATGTAGAGTTATTTCCTCACAAGGACTTATAACTGGGTTATCCTCAGCTAAAAACCACGGAAGATCGCTCTCGGTAAAGTTCCTTCAATCCCCAGCGGAGTCTATCTTTGGTATTCCCAAGCAGAGTTTATCTTTGGAGTTCCCCAGTGGATTTTTATCATCATTATCCCCAGCGGAATCCATCATTGAAGTCCTCAGCAGGCCTCTCATCAAAACTTCGGCCAAGTATCTCTTCCACAGAGCAATTCTCCGGCCGTTCGTCAAGGATTTATTTTCCCCAAGACGAAATTACATCCATAAACATTTCACATTTTCATACATCTTGCTTACATACATGATAAAGTGCATACAACACGGTCTCATGTTGAACATCATCATGCATATCATACATCATGACATTGCATACAACTTATGTTTTTGCCTTTTCAGGGAAAAAGACACTCCCAAAGACAACTACCTTCAACTGTCACAATTCCAGATTCGATACCTGTATCTAGCCAGGGCACATCTGAGAGTGATCAGTTTCCAGACTCGATTCCTGTATCCAGCCAGGGCACGTCTGAAGAGTTCAAAGATTCGATTCCTGTATCCAGCCAGGGCACATCTATCAACTACTATCTCCAGATTCGATTCCTGTATCCAGCCAGGGCACGTCTGAGGAATTCAAAGATTCGATTCCTGTATCCAGCCAGGGCACATCTATTGACAACTATTTCCGGATTCGACTCCTGTATCCAGCCAGGGCACATCTGTGAGCAACCGATTGTAGATTCGACACCTGTATCTAGCCAGGGCATATCTGCATGAGGAGATTGAAGATCAAACACCTGTAACAAGCCAGGAAAACATCTGTCTTTCTCAAATACACAAGTTCTCACTAAGGAATCTCTTATGCGGTCGACACTTCCAAATGGCATCTATAAGCCCATTCCCGACAAGGTTCTGTCACATCTCCAGATGGCATCTATAAGCCCATCTCCCTATCCACCATCTCTCCAAATGGCATCTATAAGCCCATTTCCTACACCACATTGCTGACACTTCAACATGCGAGTGCAAATTTCCGGGCACTCTAGTGTCCAATCTTCTTTTACCCTTGAGTCACGAAAGGCAAACTTGCCAATCTAACTCTTCAGGTTCAAGAAGATTGAACAGGGGCAACTATTGTACCCCAAAATTTGCCCTCCCATTTCCTCAACATTTTCTCATCACAAGACCTTTGAAGATCAAGATCCAGTTAGGGTTTTCCTCTGCTCAAGACTTCTCCTTGCACTGTGGACTCAAATTAGGGTTTGTGTTTGAACAAAGATGTTTTGACCTAGAATGCCTAAGATGACTTTCATGCTTCATATTGGACTCCCAAGTTTACCCATACCAAGCTTCAAGTCTTGATTCCAAGTTTTGCCCAGTCAATTGGACAGTTGACCTAGAAATCAGCTGTATTGGGGAAAAAGTCAACTGTGGCCAATTGACAGTCAAACCTCATGAAATTTGATCCACATCAACATTATGAACTCACATGAACCATTTGATCAAGTTTGGATCACCATTCCACAAGAAATTTGATCAGATCACCAAAAGGGCAAAATGGTCATTTTTAGGGTTTTGACTGCACAAAGGCAATTTTTGACTGTTTGACCTAGCCAATGGCCAACCAAGCTCACATATGGACTCAAGGACCCCATGGAATTATCTTGACATGTTCATCAAGCTCAAAAGATCCCAAGTACACAAGATTGACAATTGAATTTCCCAGTCAATTGATCAATTTTGACTGTACACTGAAAAGTCAAACTTTGACTTTTTGGTCAAAATCAAGAGTCAAGATTCATTTTTCATCAAAAACATACCAAATCATGAAACTTGTTCACCAAGAAATCACAAAATGCAAATTAGGGTTTGAAAATGGAATTTTTCATAACTTAGAATTTTTCTAAGTTATGAAAAACCCTAATTTTTTCCCAACTTTGCCCCACCTTTTCACCAAGATCCATTTGGATTCAAGCAAAAGTCAAAACATGAAAGTTGTAGCTTGTTGCATAATCTACAACTTTGATTCACAAAGTTTTCTCATTTGAAGCTTGTATCTCAAGTTACAATGTTTTGAATAAGGGCACTAAACCATTTTTAACTTAGTAAAATTTTAACCTATTTTGACAAGGTTTTCTACCCCACTTCAAGGCCACTTTTCATACCCTTCCACTTGGAATTTTGATTTGCATTTCAAAGATGGATTGTAGTACACATTCCAAGCTTTCCAAAATGTCCAAGAACTCATCAAACAACCTCATAACTTGAGAGATTCGAATTTCACAAGTTGGCAAGAATTCACTTTTGTTTTTCATCAAAACATGTTCATAAACTTTGCAAATTTGAACTCAGCATACACTACAAGAAAAATGATAGATTGGGACGGTTATTTTGGCTGATTACGACGGTTAAAACCGTCGCAATTTACAATCTACGACGGTAGAAGTACCGTCGCAGAATCGTGCGTCCCCAGCCTATTTCGCGACGGTTGCAAAAACTGTCACGCACAACAGATAGCGACGGTTATATACCGTCGTGAATTTGACTTTATTTTTTGTTTTTGTTGTTGTTTGCGACGGTTACTCTACCGTCGTAGGTTAGAAATTGCGGCGGTTTTAACCGTCGTAATCTGATTTATAAATTTCAAATAATATTTTTATTTAAATTATTATTTAGTAAAATAATTTTAAATATAATATTATTTTACTATAATATTTTACTATTATATTTAAATTATTATTTACTTTAATATTTTTTTATTTATAGTATTTTTATTTTATTTTCTATCACTTTTCAACATAATAAAGTTAATTACAATAAAAACATTTAATATCAAATAATCATCAATAATATCAAAAAAATGTGATCAAAGGTAAAAAGAAGTGCAAATTTTACCAATAAACAAGAAAAATTCAAATATCATCAAAGGCCAAATTTCATTTTAATATTTACATTGGTTTGCTACAACTTGAGAGAATTACAAAAAATGTTACAATATTCTACAAAATTACATAGATTCAGTCAATCACATAGATTCAAGTCAATTTAAATATCCACTTCACAAACCTAATCCCTCACATAACAATTTCTAACAACTTTAAGCTAACAGTTATCCATTTCAATTGATATTCCTAACAGTCAGGCCCTAATAATATTGACGATTTTAACTCTTTTTCACACTAACAATTAGCTAACTCAAATTACAATCAGCAACTAACTCTCAGTTTCATTCAAATCTAAAGCCATCCCATCCTAATAGCCAACTATACACAACCTCTCTACAATATTCTACACAGCTTCGTCAACCTTCATCATCAATGGCATCATCGCGACTTCAAGCTTGAAGCATTCCCTCTATTTCAACACCAATCACAACAACAAACTTCAATAATTGAATTGTACCGAATCAATAGAAAATACGTGTGAATCGGAAATAATAGAAGAATGAGGAATTAAGAATGCATACCTGAATCACGATTGAAGCGTTGGCGGAGTGACTCCGACGTGTAAGTATTCTTTCTTCTCTCATCATTTTTGTGATGAACTCCACTAATCAAATTAACCTCATTGAAGAAATGATCCACCCATTGCGTCGAGTTAAAACTAAGCCTTTTAACAGCCACAGTATTACCATATGGCATAACTCCCTAAAATGAAAGGAAAAATCTATAAGCACTTAACAACAATAAGGTTGTAAGAAGTTACAATAAGATAAGATCAGAATATACTTTATAAACTGAACCTGATCCTCCTTGTCCTAGCTTATTGTCATCATTGAAGTAATTTGTTGCTTTTTCAAGAATTTCATATGGAACATTTAGCTTGGATTTATTCACTGTATCCAAAAGTGTCCCAAATTGTTTTCTCTCTAGTAAAAAAACACACACACATAGCAATAACTTTTAGCACAAGTATTTTGGAAAAAAGTAATTCCAGTCTTTAAATATTAAACATGTGTACCTCTTCTTTTCCTCATTACATTCTTTCTTATAAAGAAACCCATTGTTGCAGTAACCAAAAGAAGAGCCAAGACAGCAGAAGATGCAGCCAATATTATAGCCATTTTTCGGTGTCCTAAAACACAGTTTCAAGCTTCAATCATGTTCTTATCATAATACTGACCATGGTTATAAATTGCGGTCCGCAACGCAATTGCGGCTGTAATATTGCTAATGCAGTAGCTTCCACAACCGTATTGGACTGCAATTGCAGTGTGATTTAAAACCACGCGTCCGACTATATTATGAACCGCATCTAACAATGTCGCTCAAGTTTTATCACAAAATGTCGCATCTTCACTTTCTTCTTTTTTCTTCTTTTTATCTTTACCCTCTTCCGCCTAAATGTGAAGAATCGTCAACATAGAATTTCACTAGATAAAATGTAGGTAAGCCAACAATGTAAATCAAACAAGAAAATATTTCCTGCTAAAACTAATGAGTTAACCCTGCCTTGTTAACAAGAAAAAATAAAGGAAAGAATTGTAGGCATAGGTTCTCTACCAGGAACTTTTTCTCTAGTTCTTCAAAGAATGCCAGTTTTTTCGCATCTGCCACACAAATATCTTAATCAGTATAAAGTAAAAATAACAAGGCTTCATCATTATTATGAGTAAAACAGAGATTCATATCATAACTAGACTAACATTTACAGATAATTAATAGATTGATAAAATAAAAAGAAAAAGTTCATAAGAAATCACCAGCTTCAGGGTTCCATCGAAACTTTTTCCGGCTCAGCATCTGCTTAGATTTACCTGAAATCAACTTTCGGACTAAATTACTTGTTACCAGGAACCGCAAATGCATAACGAAAAGTAGAAGCATTTTTCTACAATAAAATAAAAACACAACCACTGCCTTAAAAGCCTATCCCATTATTCACACCTGGAACCAACTCCTTAACAAATTCGTCGTAATATAAAACCTGAGACAGCGAATCACGAGTGAACGCGATCTTCTTCTTGTCAGAAAATCTTTCTACGTGCATCCTTTTGCGCCCTGACAATGAAACAATATGTATTGGAAATCTCAGATTTTGTAATGACAATCTGCCAATATGTATCATGTAAAGGCAATTGAATTCGAACCTTTTGATTCGGTGTCGTCCAAGAGATTCGGTGCAGTGGTAGAAAGAAAGCTTACTACTACATGCTGAAATGAGGTTGAGGTTGTGAACATTGATTGTGAAGGGACTTAGTCAGGTTTCAACATGAACACGGGTTCTGATAGGCTTTAGCTTAATTCCTAAACTTTCTTGAGAGAGGAGTTCTGGTGACATGATTGAATGATTAGAGGGGCTTGCTGGACTTGAACCGTTGCTTGATGAGGAAGCAAAATGTGGTTGTCTGTGGAAGCCAAAACCCATTAAGAAACACTCAATTGGTACTATCATGGAGTTTGGGTGTTCTTCTGTTACTAGTGAGCCACAAGCCTCAACCTGATCAAGTGCGGTTTGTAAAGCAATTGTGTTATGTTTATGTGTTATTTGAGTATCTTATGTAATTTCATATTTAATGGACATGGATTACGACGGTACCTCAACAAGTGCACAGATTTTGCTGTCCATTTTTGTACTCATGTGAATAGACTCGGCATGGAATGGACTACTCTCTCCTGCAAATATAAGTGTCTTGCATTGCAAGTTCTTTAGTCCCTCACTGAGGTCGCGCCTTCTGCAAGTATTTCAACATTTTGGTAATGAATCATGGGAACAAATGATCATAAGTAAGTTGCTAAAGTTTTAAATTTTCCACATTTTATTGGCATCATCCCTTTGTCATCTTTGTATATTTTATGTCATTTTAGTCCACTCCCAAAATCAAACAAGTTCATAATCCACAAGCTAGAATTTGGTCCACTCATACAATAATAAGAGTCAACTGTGTGCAATAATAACTATTATAAGAGGCATTCTAAGTATAGAAAAGAATTTTCAAACAAGACAGAAAACGTTAACATCAAATATCTTGAGAATATTTAAGTTGTTATCAATAATTAACCATGAGAACAATTGATAATTAAGTTCCTTAAGTTTTAAATCTTCATTGCCATTATCCAAGTTGCATTATCTCTGTTTGTTGTCTTTTTACATTTCATGCCATATTAGTCCGCCCAAAATCCATATCAAGTCCATAGCCACAAGTTAGAATTTGGTTTCACTTATAAAATAATGCGCTTATAAGTGTAGAAAGAATTTGCAACATAAATGCCGCAATTAGACAACTAGGGGCAGGACAAAAATGTCCAACTAGTCAACTAGAGGTTGGAATGAAGGCAAGCCAAATGTTGCAATTAGACTAGGGCGAACCACAATAAAGGTGGAATATCCAAAACACCCCCTCGTGCTTGGGTCTCGATGAGAGGCTGAAACACGAATGATGCAGAAAGCCCAACAACATATCCAAAACATCTTATGAAATATGGTTGGACTTAACTCAATCTTACAAAATCGGCTTGTACGGCGAGGGTTGTCCCCACATATGTGATATCTCTAAGTAATATGAGACTAAATTCACCCCTTAAAAGCCGACACAATGTAGGTGTTGGAGGGTGCAATGAAAGCAACACACATGCCACAATTAGGTGACTTGGGGCGGACAGCAAAGAAGGCGGAATTTCCAATAGTATGAATGTTGACATTGAATTCTCGAGAATATTGAGGTTACCATCAATAAAAACAGGATTGAGACAGTTACACTGTTGTATGAAATGGCTTAGATAGATTAAAAATTTGGAGGGAGGAGTGAAGTTTGTAAAAAACATCATTACTTACGCATTAACTGCTTGAAGAAAACGCATGACATTTAAACTTTGCCTTTCATCCAGAAGCTGCAATTATAGAACAGAAAAGAGAATCTTCAAATCAGAATTGTACACATACAAAATTATCCTAATTGCCAAGTTAATTAGGCATTTTCTGAGGAAAAAATAGAGTTTTACATACTCTTCGGCAAGTTAGTATTACTTCTGATTCTGATCCCTCAATACTGCATCTAAGCTCCTATAAAAGATGTAGAGAAGTAATGTCACCTCCAGAAATGATTCTACCTGCATAGTACCTGATAAAGAATGAGAAGAATACCTTACTGAAGTAACGTTGCAGGAGGCATTCCTTCAGTAAACCGCACATACCATAGAAGTACAATAAGTTCATCAAGACCTACATATATGTAGAAAACCTGTAAACATTCTATTTCAAGGGATCATTTTACAAGTTTTATATTGTTTTGTTGTATGCTAAAGGCGTTTAGAATCACAGTTAGATGGCTTTTAAAGTGCGGTCAACTAAACAGCTGCAGCTTCGAAGTCAACTCACAATGTTACTGTGGAAACAATGATTTTCAAACACACACGATAAATAGTTTGGCACATTACTACTTTCCTTGATATAGTTGTTGGAATTTCAATTTCAAAAGATAACTTATGATAAAAGCATGAAGGCTGAGAGGAAACCTTGTTGTAAATCCATTCAGTCCATGAAGGTCCTTTACAAATCGGTGAAACAAGAATCAATCCAAGCACTCGTTCTTTGTATTTCATCTGCCAAGTGATGAAAAAATTAACACGATGGTTTACTATATTAGATTGTTGAACATGAAACTCATAAAACTATAACTCAGCTCAGAGTTACTAACTTACAGCAAATAGTGTGAGGATGTAAGCACCGGCTGTTACACCCATGCACATAACCTCTCTTAGCCTGATTCATGACAGTTTCGTATGAAAGTTAAAATCATAATCCAAATAAGTCTATCATAAGGCCAGTTTCATTAGTGAATATTTACTCAGTTCCCTTAGTTCAATATAGAATCGGTGAATAGCGAATGTTATGCTTACCCGAAAAAATCAAGCACTTCTGCAACCTGATCAGCTAGGTCATCCACACAAAGCAAAGGTTCATCCGAAGAAATCACATCAGCTCCCAACTGCAATATCTCTTAAACAAATGAGAAAAAATTGATGTGAATTCAATGAAATTGAAGCTAGCATGTACAATAACACTAGAAAGAATCCGTATACTAACCTCATGCCCTGGAGCATCAATGTGATAAATACAGAAGTTACGAAGCATCAAAGAAGCTGCTTCTGGACAAAACAACAGACCCTGAAAACAAGACACATCTGCAAAAAAACACTCCATGATTTCAAAAACCATATCCATAGTGATTCCAAACACATAAACAAAGCACCAAACATCTAAAACTAACAATCTGGTGTTGAAATTCCCTCATACACATCAAAATCAAACCAAAATGAGCAACAAGTACAAAATCATACAATTGAGAGCCACATCTGGGTAAGTTATTAGAGCAGGTTTATCTCGATCCCCACAAAGTGAAATATCAAAGATGGAGAGGAAGATGATGAAGAGAATGGCAGAGAATGGCATCAGGTTTAAAACCCCTGTCAACCATGCGCTTAAGAAAGCGGAGAGCTCGATTGTACTTAGCTGATTTGAATGACCTAATGAGAGCTTCATCGTAATCTTGATCAAGTTTTGGCCTTGTTTCATTGACCCTGATTCTTGTTCTTCGGTTGTTGGTGTTGCCCGGGGTTGAGGAAGTGACGATAGTGTTGGGATTTGAACGGCGAGAAGTGCGGTTTGGGTGGTTTCTGAAATTGAGAGTGTGTGATAAGAATTCAGTTGAAAAGGTTGTCATTGATGATGATGATGATGTTATCGGGTGTTGTTGGAAGATTTATGGCTTGAGTTTGGACAAAATTCAGTATCATAGAATGGATAAGAGATGATACATATTTTATCCTAACCAAATATTATCCTAAAAAATCATTAAAAAAAATAAAACCCTAAAACAACAAATTAGAAAACCTAACATCAATTCAATATATTCAAACTCAAATGAAAGGTTTAAGGGTGCGACGGTTGTTTTACCGTCGTGAAATGAATTTTAGGACGGATAATTTTACCGTCGTGAAAGTTTTAAGGGTGCGACGGATGCTTTACCGTCGTGATATGCCTTTTAGGACGGTTAATTTTACCGTCGTGACTAGTTGTTGGTGAAAAATCAATGTTAAAAGTGTTAAATGGGGGCCGACGGTTGTTTTACCGTCGTAATAATAATATTATGATGGTTAAATATACCGTCGCAAAATAAATATTAGGGACGGTTGGTGTCAACTGTCGTAAACACTGTCTCTATATGTCAATTACGACAGTTATCACATAACTGTCGCAATTTTTGTGTCGTTAAACACTAATTTTCTTGTAGTGATAGTTTGTGCTATTTTACAGGTCTTTAAACCAAATTACACTCCTTAATTTAATGCAAAACCATTGAACCAAGTTGTTATTCTAAGCCTTTGGTCATTACACAAGGAATTAAGCCTAAACTAGAAAAAGCACTATTTCCATTCTTGAAAAGAAGAACTTTATGTCAAGTTTGTAATCCAAGTGGTACAATCAAGATCTTCTTGGCACAAGTTTGTGAGCAAATTGCACTGATCAAGGCAAGGGATAGAAGCATAGTGGGAGGGCCTGTACTGACCTAGGGAGCCAAGTTGCATTTTGTAGCTTAAGTGTGAAGAAAGGTCCATAACTTATGCCAACTCTCTCTTCAGCAAAAAGACACAAGAACAAAGTTATCAAACATCTTCCATAGAACATATCTAAGCTTTTGCACGAGTCCTGAACCTCTAAAGCATCCTCCATCTCAAAATCACCTTGAAACTGCACAAACAGGGGAACCCCTGCAGATTGAGTGCAAACTCCCACTTCCCTCGAGCATTCTCACCAAAAACAATTCATACACCTTCCTTACAACATATGCAAGCTAACCATGGCCTAAAATCTAACCTGTAATCACTCTAACAATTTCCACCATTTTCATTTTTTTCTTTTACAGTTGAAGTTCTATAGCTTGATACAAGAAGGTTCAAGACAAAATAAGCATTAAAAAAGCATCCCTGGACCTCAAGGAAGCTTTTCCAATCATTACTTTGCACTAGAAGTTCCTCATTCTCCAGATTGAAGTTCAACTGCACAGGTAAAACTTTGAACTCGTATCTCTCTTATCATGCATCTTTATGTTAGAACAATGTTTGAATCTAGTACCCTATATTTAAGTTTTGATGATAACAAAGTGAAAAGATATAGTATTTATATGTCTCATGTTTGAACTATATGCTGCCTAAAAATACTATGCTCTGACTTGCAGATA